ATGAGAGAAGTGATATTTCAGTTAAGAAATGACAAGGAAACATGATGAAGTAACTATTTTTAGTTGACCGATGAATACTTTTAGTTGAGCAAAAGACAAAACATGATGAACATGACTTTTTCTGATGATTGGCAGATAATTTTAGTTATGAAATGACAATGAAACATGAAGAACACGGTTATTTTCTGATGACTGGGGAATAAGTTTAGTTAAGAAATGATGAAAGTTATTATTTTTAGTTGATTGACGATGGATAAAAGCTAGTTATGAACAGTTTTGGAAAGTTTCCTTTGACAATTTTTCTTGATGAAACATAGCGCCTGTTAAGAAAGTGCTGAAAAAAGTTTCCTTTGACAATTTTTAGCTAAGAGAAAGGTTGTTTTAGTTAAGAACAGTGTTGAACGAGGCTATTTCTGACTATTTTTAGTTGACTGGATAATAAGTTTAGTTGAGAAATGACGAAAGTGACTATGTTTTTTTAGTTGATTGGCGAAAGATTTTTTTAGTTAAGGAACGTTAGATAACATGTAAGGGGAAAAACCCAGAGAACATATGGGGAACATGGCAAAGAACACATGTAAGAAAAGTTGATGAATACAGTGAACATGCTGGGAATATGAACTTACAGAGAACATGAAAACATGATAAGGAGAATAGGGAATACAAAGAATGAACAATGGACTTGTGAAGAACATGGAGAATATGACAAAGAATGTAGAAAACATGTAAGTGAAGGTGAAAAACGAAGTGATCTTGTGAGGAACATGAACTTGTAGAGGAACATGAATATTGACAAAGAACACAAAATATGGAAGTTAGCATGAATATTGAGTATAAAAGTTGTAAAGAGAACATGTGATGAACATGAAAACATAGAAAATATGACTAGAATTTGTAGAGAAAGTAATGAGACTAAGAGAAAGATTACAGAAAAAATGGAGATACTTGTGAAAATATGAACTGAATGGGACTGTGAACATTTGAAGAACATGGAGTGAACACGGAAAACATGGACAAAACGTGAAGAACACAGCTGAATATAGAGAAAATATGCAAATACAGTATGATTATTGAAGGTTTTGATACGTTGGGGATGAGAAGGTAAGGGAGGGAAAGTAATTACTCGGATAAGAGATAAGCTGGAGACGGACTTGATCGAATATATTTATGTCTGATGATCTAAGGCTGAGGGAATGGAGCTTGGTTAATGCCCTGATTAATTTTACTACGTTAGAAAATAAGGTGATCTTAAATCTCAGGGTGATTTAGTTGGAAAATAAAGAACTTGTACAAATGAACTAAGCTGGGGCACAAGAGTTGAAACTTGATAACTGAACTGGTTTTTTATTTACTATGTCTGAAAATGTAGTTGGGTGATTTGGACTGAGAGTAATGAATTTACAAAAGTGAGCTTGGACAGAGGACAAGAGCTAGAGTTTTATAATTGTTTACTTCATATTTACTATGTCTGAAATACAGAGGGTAAAAATTTCGGGGAAATTGATGGTTTATTTACAAAGACTTGAGGGTGGAAGAGGGTGGGGGACGAGAGCTGGAGCTCAGTAACTGACTTGATCTTATTTACTAACTTTGAAGTATGTCTGCTTTTAATTTTAGGGAAATTGATGGGTTATTTACAAAGATACGAAAGAGAATTAAGGCGGGGACGAGAGCTGGAGCTCGATAACTGACTTGATTTTATTTACGGTGTCTGAAATACAGAGGGTAAAAATTTAAGGGAAATTGATGGTTTATTTACAAAGATACGAAAGAGAACTAAGGCGGAGGACAAGCGCTGGAGCTTGGTAACTGTTTTGATCTTATTTACGGTGCCTGAAATACAGAGGGTAGAAATTTCAGGGAAATTGGACTGATACTAACGAAGATACGAGAGAGAGCTAAGGCGGAGGACAAGCGCTGGAGCTTGGTAACTGTTTTGATCTTATTTACGGTGCCTGAAATACAGAGGGTAAAAATTTCAGGGAAATTGGACTGATACTAACGAAGATACGAGAGAGAGCTAAGGCGGAGGACAAGCGCTGGAGCTTGGTAACTAAATTACTGTATTGAACTACATTTGAAATATGATTATTTTTAAATTTTAGAGGGATTGGAATGATAGTATTCATTATACGACAGGGGACTAAGGTGGGGGAACGTGAGCTAGAACATGCTTACTAACATGATTTATTTGTGTAAAAACTGACTTGCTTAATGAAAAGGAGCAAACATACGATGTTGGAAAATAGTTGAACTGAACTGAATGAAAGGAGAGAGAGAGAGAGACGGTCCAGATATTATGGAGAAGATAAGATAAGATAAGAGGTCTGGCTGGCCGGGCGTAAGGTAAATAAAGGTGACGCGAGAGATTGCGAGGTAAGGGGGGAGGGGGAGGGAGGGGGGTGTGATGTACGAAACCCTGAAAACCCTGACTTACACAGGTGATTTTCTAAATTTATATGAATAACTAAGGCTTACATAGACGATTTTGTAAGTTGAAAACATGTAAAATATGTCCGTAGAGTTCTCCTGGAAGCCCTAAAGAGCTACATACGTTACTTGAATTTGTCCCATAAGGCCTTAACAAACTTCTAAGTCTCGGAAATTATTTTTCTCATAAGAAATCCTTACTTCTAAAATCTGTGACACACAAAATTTACCTGAAAACCCTCATGGCTCACACAGGGGATTTTTTCCCAGAAAAAAAAAATCCCCTGTGAGGCGCCTTCCCTACTACTGCCCGCTCCCTGCTGCTGCTGCTGCTGCTCCAGCTGCTGCTGCCTGGCCCGCTCCCTGCTGCTCCTGCTGCTGCTGCTGCTCCAGCTGCTGCTGCCTGGCCTGCTCCCTGCTGCTCCTGCTGCTGCTGCTGCTGCTGCTCCAGCTGCTGCTGCTGCTGCTCCAGCTGCTGCCTGGCCCGCACCCTGCTGCTGCTGCTTCCTGGCCCGCACCCTGCTGCTGCTGCTGCTGCTTCCTGGCCCGCACCCTGCTGCTGCTGCTTCCTGGCCCGCACCCTGCTGCTGCTGCTGCTGCCTGGCCCGCACCCTGCTGCTCCTGCTGCTGCTGCCTGGCCCGCTCCCTGCTGCTGCTGCTGCTGCTGCTGCTGCCTGGCCCGCTCCCTGCTGCTGCTGCTGCTGCCTGGCCCGCACCCTGCTGCTGCTGCTGCTCCTGCTGCTGCTGTTGCTGCTGTTGCTGCTGCTGCTTCCTGGCCCGCACCCTGCTGCTCCTGCTGCTGCTGCTGCTCCAGCTGCTGCTGCTCCTGCTGCTGCTCCAGCTGCTGCTGCCTGGCCCGCACCCTGCTGCTCCTGCTGCTGCTGCTGCTCCAGCTGCTGCTGCTGCTGCTCCAGCTGCTGCTGCTGCTCCTGCTGCTGCTGCTGCTGCTGCTGCTGCTGCCTGGCCCGCTCCCTGCTGCTCCTGCTGCTGCTGCTGCCTGGCCCGCTCCCTGCTGCTCCTGCTGCTGCTGCTGCCTGGCCCGCTCCCTGCTGCTCCTGCTGCTGCCTGGCCCGCACCCTGCTGCTCCTGCTGCTGCTCCAGCTGCTGCTGCCTTGCCCGCTCCCTGCTGCTGCTGCTGCCTGGCCCGCACCCTGCTGCTGCTGCTGCTCCTGCTGCTGCTGCTGCTTCCTGGCCCGCACCCTGCTGCTGCTGCTGCTGCTGCTGCTCCAGCTGCTGCTGCTGCTGCTCCAGCTGCTGCTGCTTCCTGGCCCGCACCCTGCTGCTCCTGCTGCTGCTGCTGCTCCAGCTGCTGCTGCCTGGCCCGCACCCTGCTGCTCCTGCTGCTGCTCCTGCTGCTGCTCCAGCTGCTGCTGCCTGGCCCGCACCCTGCTGCTGCTGCTGCTGCTCCAGCTGCTGCTGCCTGGCCCGCACCCTGCTGCTCCTGCTGCTGCTCCAGCTGCTGCTGCCTGGCCCGCTCCCTGCTGCTCCTGCTGCTGCTCCAGCTGCTGCTGCCTGGCCCGCTCCCTGCTGCTCCTGCTGCTGCTCCAGCTGCTGCTGCCTGGCCCGCTCCCTGCTGCTGCTGCTGCTGCCTGGCCCGCTCCCTGCTGCTGCTGCTGCCTGGCCCGCTCCCTGCTGCTGCTGCCTGGCCCGCTCCCTGCTGCTGCTGCTGCCTGGCCCGCTCCCTGCTGCTGCTGCCTGGCCCGCACCCTGCTGCTGCTGCTGCTGCTGCCTGGCCCGCTCCCTGCTGCTGCTGCTGCTGCTGCCTGGCCCGCTCCCTGCTGCTGCTGCTGCTGCCTGGCCCCGCTCCCTGCTGCTGCTGCTGCTGCCTGGCCCGCTCCCTGCTGCTGCTGCCTGGCCCGCTCCCTGCTGCTGCTGCTCCAGCTGCTGCCTGGCCTCGAACCGGGCTTCGGGGAGTAGAAGAACTCAGTTGAGAGGCGGGACCAAGGAGCCAGAGCTCAACCCCCTTGACATTAACCGCCAACTTGGAGAAACATTTGAATAAGCGCGGCAAGTTTTGGCGGGCCGGACGCCACCTAGCGGCGGAACCTGCAACTTACCACCAAAACAATAACATTGCCCTGCTATATCTACCCCCCTTCCCTCACTGTATATTCTTTTTTCCTTGATTGCTGTACCCACTCTGGTTACAGGAGTACATGTGGCACTAATACAGGTGTTTGGTCTGGTTACAGGAGTACATGTGGCACTAATACAGGTGTTTGGTCTGGTTACAGGAGTACATGTGGCACTAATACAGGTGTTTGGTCTGGTTACAGGAGTACATGTGGCACTAATGCAGGTGTTTGGTCTGGTTACAGGAGTACATGTGGCACTAATACAGGTGTTTGGTCTGGTTACAGGAGTACATGTGGCACTAATACAGGTGTTTGGTCTGGTTACAGGAGTACATGTGGCACTAATACAGGTGTTTGGTCTGGTTACAGGAGTACATGTGGCACTAATACAGGTGTTTGGTCTGGTTACAGGAGTACATGTGGCACTAATACAGGTGTTTGGTCTGGTTACAGGAGTACATGTGGCACTAATACAGGTGTTTGGTCTGGTTACAGGAGTACATGTGGCACAGGAAGCACAAGTTCATGCGCCTTGACGGCTCCTCCAAGATCTCTGACCGACGCGACATGGTGGCCGACTTCCAGACTAAGTGAGTCCCCTCTCTGCTGTACCCCTCTCTGCTGTACCCCTCTCTGCTGTACCCCTCTTTGCTGTACCTCCCTCTGCTGTACCCTCTCTGCTGTACCCCCTCTGCTGTACCTCCCTCTCCTGTACCCCCTCTGCTGTACCACCCTCTGCTGTACCTCCCTCTGGTGTACCCCCTCTGCTGTACCCCCTCTGCTGTACCCCCCTCTGCTGTACCCCTCTCTGCTGTACCCCCTCTCTGCTGTACCTCCCTCTGCTGTACCCCCTCTGCTGTACCCCTCTCTGCTGTACCCCCTCTGCTGTACTCCCCTCTGCTGTACCTCCCTCTGCTGTACCTCCCTCTGCTGTACCTCCCTCTGCTGTACCCCCCTCTGCTGTACCCCCCTCTGCTGTACCCCCCTCTGCTGTACCTCCCTCTGCTGTACCCCCCCCTCTGTTGTACCTCCCCCTCTGTTGTACCCCCTCTGCTGTACCCTCCCCTCTGCTGTACCCTCCCCTCTGCTGTACCCTACCCTCTGCTGTACCTCCCTCTGCTGTACCCCCTCTGCTGTACCCCCCTCTGCTGTACCTCCCTCTGCTGTACCCCCTCTGCTGTACCCCCCTCTGCTGTACCCCCTCTGCTGTACCTCCCTCTGCTGTACCCCCTCTGCTGTACCCCCTCTGCTGTACCTCCCTCTGCTGTACCTCCCTCTGCTGTACCTCCCTCTGCTGTACCCCCCTCTGCTGTACCCTACCCTTTGCTGTACCCTACCCTCTGCTGTACCCCCCCCTCTGTTGTACCCCCTCTGCTGTACCCCCCTCTGCTGTACCTCCCTCTGCTGTACCCCCTCTGCTGTACCCCCTCTGCTGTATCTCCCTCTGCTGTACCACCCTCTGCTGTACCACCCTCTGCTGTACCTCCCTCTGCTGTACCCCCCTCTGCTGTACCTCCCTCTGCTGTACCCCCCTCTGCTGTACCTCCCTCTGCTGTACCTCCCTCTGCTGTACCTCCCTCTGCTGTACCCCCCTCTGCTGTACCTCCCTCTGCTGTACCTCCCTCTGTTGTTCCTCCCTCTGCTGTACCCTACCCTCTGCTGTGCCTCCCTCTGCTGTACCCCCTCTGCTGTACCTCCCTCCGCTGTACCTCCCTCTGCTGTACCTCCCTCTGCTGTACCTCCCTCTGCTGTACCCCCCTCTGCTGTACCTCCCTCTGCTGTACCTCCCTCTGCTGTACCTCCCTCTGCTGTACCCTACCCTCTGCTGTACCCAACCCTTTGCTGTACCCAACCCTCTGCTGTACCCCCCTCTGTTGTACCTCCCTCTGCTGTACCCCCTCTGCTGTACCCTCTCTGCTGTACCCCCTCTGCTGTACCCCCTCTGCTGTACCCTCTCTGCTGTACCCCCTCTGCTGTACCACCCTCTGCTGTACCCCCCTCTGCTGTACCTCCCTCTGCTGTACCTCCCTCTGCTGTACCTCCCTCTGCTGTACCTCCCTCTGCTGTACCCCCCTCTGCTGTACCCCCCTCTGCTGTACCTCCCTCTGCTGTACCCCCCTCTGCTGTACCCTACCCTCTGCTGTACCCCCCTCTGCTGTACCCCCTCTGCTGTACCCCCCTCTGCTGTACCCCCCTCTGCTGTACCTCCCTCTGCTGTACCCCCCTCTGCTGTACCTCCCTCTGCTGTACCTCCCTCTGCTGTACCTCCCTCTGCTGTACCCCCTCTGCTGTACCCCCCTCTGCTGTACCTCCCTCTGCTGTACCCCCTCTGCTGTACCCCCCTCTGCTGTACCCCCTCTGCTGTACCTCCCTCTGCTATCTAGATGCTATACATGGCTATGTAGATGCTATACATGGCTATCTAGATGCTATACATGGCTATCTAGATGCTATACATGGCTATCTAGATGCTATACATGGCTATCTAGATGCTATACATGGCTATCTAGATGCTATACATGGCTATCTAGATGCTATACATGGCTATCTAGATGCTATACATGGCTATCTAGATGGTATACATAGCTATCTAGATGCTATACATGGCTATCTAGATGCTATATATGGCTATCTAGATGCTATACATGGCTATCTAGATGCTATACATGGCTATCTAGATGCTATATATGGCTATCTAGATGCTATACATGGCTATCTAGATGCTATACATGGCTATCTAGATGCTATACATGGCTATCTAGATGCTATATATGGCTATCTAGATGCTATACATGGCTATCTAGATGCTATGTACTGTGTGTAAACCATTTCAGGTATGATAACATTTTTGATAACTTGACGCATGATAACATGGCCCAACTGGTTTGGACGGGGGGACTATATCGTGTTATCCTGGTGTGTTTCAGAGCGGATATCTTCGTCTTCCTGCTATCGACCCGCGCGGGCGGCGTGGGTATCAACCTCACGGCTGCCGACACTGTGAGTACCCGCTATCCTGGTCACCTGTTATCATGTTTCCGCTATCGTGGTCACCTGTTATCTTGTTCCCGCTATCCTGGTGACCTGTTATCTTGTACACAGTACCACACAGTACAGGAGGTGTCAGTACACAGTACATCAAGGCGTAGAGGGCCGTGAACCATTAACAATGGCGGCGGCAGATGTAATATTCTCAAGGGATTGTGCGGATAAATGTCCTCCAGGAGAGGTGGACGGGTGTATATCCCCGAGGGAATAGGGGATAGCAGGGAGGACCGAGGGGCAAGGGAATAGGGGATAGCAGGGAGGACCGAGGGGCAAGGGAGTAGGGGATAGCAGGGAGGACCGAGGGGCAAGGGAATAGGGGATAGCAGGGAGGACCGAGGGGCAAGGGAGTAGGGGATAGCAGGGAGGACTGAGGGGCAAGGGAGTAGGGGATAGCAGGGAGGACCGAGGGGCAAGGGAGTAGGGGATAGCAGGGAGGACCGAGGGACAAGGCAGTAGGGGATAGCAGGGAGGGGCAAGGGAATAGGGGATAGCAGGGAGGACCGAGGGGCAAGGGAGTAGGGGATAGCAGGGAGGACCGAGGGGCAAGGCAGTAGGGGATAGCAGGGAGGACCGAGGGGCAAGGGAATAGGGGATAGCAGGGAGGACTGAGGGGCAAGGGAGTAGGGGATAGCAGGGAGGACCGAGGGGCAAGGGAATAGGGGATAGCAGGGAGGACCGAGGGGCAAGGGAGTAGGGGATAGCAGGGGGGACCGAGGGGCAAGGGAGTAGGGGATAGCAGGGAGGACCGAGGGGCAAGGCAGTAGGGGATAGCAGGGAGGACCGAGGGGCAAGGGAGTAGGGGATAGCAGGGAGGACCGAGGGGCAAGGGAGTAGGTGATAGCAGGGAGGACCGAGGGGCAAGGGAATAGGGGATAGCAGGGAGGACTGAGGGGCAAGGGAGTAGGGGATAGCAGGGGGGACCGAGGGGCAAGGGAGTAGGGGATAGCAGGGAGGACCGAGGGGCAAGGCAGTAGGGGATAGCAGGGAGGACCGAGGGGCAAGGGAATAGGGGATAGCAGGGGGGACCGAGGGGCAAGGGAGTAGGGGATAGCAGGGAGGACCGAGGGGCAAGGCAGTAGGGGATAGCAGGGAGGACCGAGGGGCAAGGGAATAGGGGATAGCAGGGAGGACCGAGGGGCAAGGGAGTAGGTGATAGCAGGGAGGACCGAGGGGCAAGGCAGTAGGGGATAGCAGGGAGGACCGAGGGGCAAGGCAGTAGGGGATAGCAGGGAGGACCGAGGGGCAAGGCAGTAGGGGATAGCAGGGAGGACCGAGGGGCAAGGGAATAGGGGATAGCAGGGAGGACCGAGGGGCAAGGGAGTAGGTGATAGCAGGGAGGACCGAGGGGCAAGGCAGTAGGGGATAGCAGGGAGGACCGAGGGGCAAGGCAGTAGGGGATAGCAGGGAGGACCGAGGGGCAAGGGAATAGGGGATAGCAGGGAGGACCGAGGGGCAAGGGAGTAGGTGATAGCAGGGAGGACCGAGGGGCAAGGCAGTAGGGGATAGCAGGGAGGACCGAGGGGCAAGGCAGTAGGGGATAGCAGGGAGGACCGAGGGGCAAGGCAGTAGGGGATAGCAGGGAGGACCGAGGGGCAAGGCAGTAGGGGATAGCAGGGAGGACCGAGGGGCAAGGCAGTAGGGGATAGCAGGGAGGACCGAGGGGCAAGGCAGTAGGGGATAGCAGGGAGGACCGAGGGGCAAGGCAGTAGGGGATAGCAGGGAGGACCGAGGGGCAAGGCAGTAGGGGATAGCAGGGAGGACCGAGGGGCAAGGCAGTAGGGGATAGCAGGGAGGACCGAGGGGCAAGGCAGTAGGGGATAGCAGGGAGGACCGAGGGGCAAGGGAGTAGGGGATAGCAGGGAGGACCGAGGGGCAAGGGAGTAGGGGGATAGCAGGGAGGACCGAGGGGCAAGGGAGTAGGGGATAGCAGGGAGGACCGAGGGGCAAGGCAGTAGGGGATAGCAGGGGGGACCGAGGGGCAAGGCAGTAGGGGATAGCAGGGAGGACCGAGGGGCAAGGCAGTAGGGGATAGCAGGGGGGACCGAGGGGCAAGGGAGTAGGGGATAGCAGGGAGGACCGAGGGGCAAGGGAGTAGGGGATAGCAGGGGGGACCGAGGGGCAAGGGAGTAGGGGATAGCAGGGAGGACCGAGGGGCAAGGCAGTAGGGGATAGCAGGGGGGACCGAGGGGCAAGGGAGTAGGGGATAACAGGGAGGACCGAGGGGCAAGGGAGTAGGGGATAGCAGGGAGGACCGAGGGGCAAGGGAGTAGGGGATAGCAGGGAGGACCGAGGGGCAAGGGAGTAGGGGATAGCAGGGAGGACCGAGGGGCAAGGGAGTAGGGGATAGCAGGGAGGACCGAGGGGCAAGGGAGTAGGGGATAGCAGGGAGGACCGAGGGGCAAGGGAGTAGGGGATAGCAGGGAGGACTGAGGGGCAAGGCAGTAGGGGATAGCAGGGAGGACCGAGGGGCAAGGGAGTAGGGGATAGCAGGGAGGACCGAGGGGCAAGGGAGTAGGGGATAGCAGGGAGGACCGAGGGGCAAGGGAGTAGGGGATAGCAGGGAGGACCGAGGGGCAAGGGAGTAGGTGATAGCAGGGAGGACTGAGGGGCAAGGGAGTAGGTGATAGCAGGGGGGACCCAGGGGCAAGGGAGTAGGGGATAGCAGGGAGGACCGAGGGGCAAGGCAGTAGGGGATAGCAGGGAGGACTGAGGGGCAAGGGAGTAGGGGATAGCAGGGAGGACTGAGGGGCAAGGGAGTAGGGGATAGCAGGGAGGACCGAGGGGCAAGGGAGTAGGGGATAGCAGGGAGGACTGAGGGCAAGGGAGTAGGGGATAGCAGGGAGGACTGAGGGGCAAGGGAGTAGGGGATAGCAGGGAGGACTGAGGGGCAAGGCAGTAGGGGATAGCAGGGAGGACTGAGGGGCAAGGGAGTAGGGGATAGCAGGGAGGACCGAGGGGCAAGGGAGTAGGGGATAGCAGGGAGGACTGAGGGGCAAGGGAGTAGGGGATAGCAGGGAGGACTGAGGGGCATGGGAGTAGGGGATAGCAGGGAGGACCGAGGGGCAAGGGAGTAGGGGATAGCAGGGAGGACTGAGGGGCAAGGGAGTAGGGGATAGCAGGGAGGACCGAGGGGCAAGGGAGTAGGGGATAGCAGGGAGGACCGAGGGGCAAGGGAGTAGGGGATAGCAGGGGGGACCGAGGGGCAAGGCAGTAGGGGATAGCAGGGAGAACTGAGGGGCAAGGGAGTAGGGGATAGCAGGGAGGACCGAGGGGCAAGGGAGTAGGGGATAGCAGGGAGGACCGAGGGGCAAGGGAGTAGGGGATAGCAGGAAGGACCAAGGGGCAAGGGAGTAGGTGATAGCAGGGAGGACCGAGGGGCAAGGGAGTAGGTGATAGCAGGGAGGACTGAGGGGCAAGGGAGTAGGTGATAGCAGGGAGGACCGAGGGGCAAGGGAGTAGGGGATAGCAGGGAGGACCGAGGGGCAAGGGAGTAGAGGATAGCAGGGAGGACCGAGGGGCAAGGGAATAGGGGATAGCAGAGAGGACCGAGGGGCAAGGGAGTAGGGGATAGCAGGGAGGACCCAGGGGCAAGGCAGTAGGTGATAGCAGGGAGGACTGAGGGGCAAGGGAGTAGGGGATAGCAGGGAGGACTGAGGGGCAAGGCAGTAGGGGATAGCAGGGAGGACCGAGGGGCAAGGGAGTAGGGGATAGCAGGAAGGACCGAGGGGCAAGGGAGTAGGGGATAGCAGGGGGGACCGAGGGGCAAGGGAGTAGGGGATAGCAGGGAGGACCGAGGGGCAAGGGAGTAGGGGATAGCAGGGAGGACCGAGGGGCAAGGGAGTAGGGGATAGCAGGGGGGACCCAGGGGCAAGGGAGTAGGGGATAGCAGGGAGGACCGAGGGGCAAGGCAGTAGGGGATAGCAGGGAGGACTGAGGGGCAAGGGAGTAGGGGATAGCAGGGAGGACTGAGGGGCAAGGGAGTAGGGGATAGCAGGGGGGACCGAGGGGCAAGGGAGTAGGGGATAGCAGGGAGGACTGAGGGGCAAGGGAGTAGGGGATAGCAGGGAGGACTGAGGGGCAAGGGAGTAGGGGATAGCAGGGAGGACTGAGGGGCAAGGGAGTAGGGGATAGCAGGGAGGACCGAGGGGCAAGGGAGTAGGGGATAGCAGGGAGGACCGAGGGGCAAGGGAGTTGGGGATAGCAGGGGGGACCCAGGGGCAAGGGAGTAGGGGATAGCAGGGAGGACCGAGGGGCAAGGGAGTAGGGGATAGCAGGGGGGACCGAGGGGCAAGGCAGTAGGGATAGCAGGGAGAACTGAGGGGCAAGGGAGTAGGGGATAGCAGGGAGGACTGAGGGGCAAGGGAGTAGGGATAGCAGGGAGGACCGAGGGGCAAGGGAGTAGGGGATAGCAGGGAGGACCGAGGGGCAAGGGAGTAGGTGATAGCAGGGAGGACCGAGGGGCAAGGGAGTAGGTGATAGCAGGGAGGACTGAGGGGCAAGGGAGTAGGTGATAGCAGGGAGGACCGAGGGGCAAGGGAGTAGGGGATAGCAGGGAGGACCGAGGGGCAAGGGAGTAGAGGATAGCAGGGAGGACCGAGGGGCAAGGGAGTAGGGGATAGCAGAGAGGACCGAGGGGCAAGGGAGTAGGGGATAGCAGGGAGGACCCAGGGCAAGGCAGTAGGTGATAGCAGGGAGGACCCAGGGGCAAGGGAGTAGGGGATAGCAGGGAGGACCCAGGGGCAAGGCAGTAGGTGATAGCAGGGAGGACCGAGGGGCAAGGGAGTAGGGGATAGCAGGGGGGACCGAGGGGCAAGGCAGTAGGGGATAGCAGGGAGGACTGAGGGGCAAGGGAGTAGGGGATAGCAGGGAGGACCGAGGGGCAAGGGAGTAGGGGATAGCAGGGGGACCGAGGGGCAAGGCAGTAGGGGATAGCAGGGAGAACTGAGGGGCAA